TGAATGGAAACCAGTGAAATCTGGCAACCCCGCACGTGAGCAACAGCAATCAAAATGTCTCACAAGCCATACGCAGAATTTCAACGGGCTGGCCACAGGTTGCCCACCACTGCCTTATATTGATTTCTTTGTCTCATAATAGTCTGTACTTAAAATATGACCTTTCAAACATCACTTATTAATACTAATGCACTTTTATTTAAAATTAAGAATCACTCAGCTCTTTGCATTTGAGGTTTAAATCACTTACGTCAATGTCCGAATACACTTGGCAGAATCTCGGATGTCCCACACCTTAATATAAGATGTTGAAACTGTGAAGACCAGGCTAGTATAGTTGCAATATTTTACAGATACAACATTGTTAGGATGACTTCCTAGAGACATAATCTCTTGTCCAGTTACTAGATTCCATACTTTACAAGTGCGATCTAAAAAAAGACACGAAGAAGTGAAAACAGATAACTTTTAAATGGAGAAAAATGTATGTTTATGCTGACATATCATCTCCTTTCAGCATTTTAAGTCCATCATAAATAACTACATTCAATGCATCTCAACCGTAACATGTACACATCACTTTCTGGGTGAAACTACACCCAGTTACAATAAAATATGTTCCTTCTTCACATACCAGCTCCCAAGAACATTGCACGCTCCAGAGTATAATAGCCCTACAATCAGTCCCTTGTCAGTCCTTCCCCAAATATAATAGGGGAAGACAGGTGGAAGTTGCAGATCTCTTGATGGTTATTACCAAATTTAAGCTATGGAAGATCATAGGAACTCCTCACCAAGAACACACTGCAGAAGGGGCACAGCACCACAGATGATCTTGACTGACAAGATAACATGTGAGAAGAAAGACATTTTCTCCAGAAGTCAGGTCCCAAACTATTCAGTGCTTCAGGTACCTCTGAAAATCCCAATCCAAGTGAGTAAAATGCCCCGTTTCACTTTCAATGAGATTTGAGTACTTATGGCCTTATCTACACACAAAGGATACACTGCTTTATGTACTCTGGCATGGTTAAGATGGTACAGCCTACTGCTATAACAGTATAACTTATTCCTGTTTGGAAGAGGAATAAATACACCCACAGTATAATCACCTTTTTGCCAATAAAGCTGCATCTACACTGGCAGTTGTAGCAGTATAACTACAAATTTAAAAAATCCCTAATGGTGTAATTCCACTAGCAAAAGAAGTGTGGCTAGAACAGGACTCTCTTTAGCTATTTGAAACCCCCAGCTTTAAAGGCCAAAACTTATACCTTCAACTGCTCTCAAGCCAATGCAACCCTTAGAACACTGACATAATATACTCTATACGCCCACTGCCTTCTATATTAGCAGCAATTTCTAGGGGGTTTCAAGTAAAAAAAAGGCTATGCCAGTTTGCCACTTTATCAGGTTTTCCCCCCAATATTTATTTTTTTCTTAAACAAATGCT